AAACAATAAGAAATAAGTGGAATTAGGTCTTTGGCACTTACACAGTGAGTTGATCAAATGGAATCTCCTGAGCCTTTATCGCTTAGTGCTCAAAAATATCCTACAGTAAGCAGGGAGGCTCTAAAACAATAAGAAATAAATGGAATTAGGTCTTTGGCACTTACACAGTGAGTTGATCAAATGGAATCTCCTGAGCCTTTATCTCCAGTTAAATTAGTTAATATGGCCCAGTATAAATCAAAAAGGGCCTTGAAGGATTGAAAAGCATCATCCGATGAACTGAGAGAACAGCAGTGGGGAGTTTGTGGACTTTATGGATGACATCGCCCCATGTGGACAGGATGGAGCTCAGTGGAGTTTCTGCTTTTCATTCCTTAACTGGGACGTCCCTGATAAAGGAACTGATCCAAAGGTCAGCACGATGACCACACATAAGGCAGTCATCTTAGCACTGGCTACAAACTGGCCCCATCTGCACATGTTTACAGACACTTGGGTGATTGATAGAGTTTGCCATTTGTGATAAAATACTTCTGGCCATCTCTTGCATCACAGGCAACATATAAATCGAGGTAATACTTGTCTCTACATATATTAGGCCCACAGTGCAAGGATACTCCTTATCCGTGTCTGCCTTCCAGGTAGTACTGATGGTAACCAAAATCCTCTCATTTTACTTTTCATAATACACAGAGCTGGGCTTCTAAACAAGGGCATTGGATGGAACTTTCTCCTCCCTTCCCAGTTGCAGGCTGCAGACCTCATAGAGCACCATAATGGCTTAGTATAAAATAAATTGAAATCAATCAACAGATGACATGTATCAGTGATTATTCTTCAGGGGTGAATTGTCATGAATCTATCTACATCTTTTATCCCCCCTACTACATACAGTTTTTATATAGAATAACTTTACAGAAAATGTGATCAATATATACAGAGTGTTCCCATGTCACCCCTGTGTCTCCGCACAGTTTGCCCTACGTTGTATATCTTGTGTTGCTGTGGTATATTTGTTACAATCCATGAATTCATATCGGTGCACGAATGAGACGCTTCGTGGATCCCTAGGTAGCTTCAGGATGGTGTGTGGTCCTTAGAAGTACCAAGTCTTGATTAGAGGCTTGGAACTTTCAGCCTTAACCTCCTACTTCTACAGATGGTAGAGACAAGGGATTTAGCGATTTAATGAATCATGCCTGACTGATGAAACCTCCATAAACCCCTCCAAATGGAAAGGTTCTCAGTGTTTAGGGCTTGGTGTTTGGAGGGTGGCACACTCAGAAGGCCTTGGGAGCTCTGTGCCCTCCCACCCATACTTTGCCCCATGCATGTGTTCCATTTGGTTGTGCCTGAGTTGTATTTCTTTTTTTTTTTTTTGTAATAAACTGTTAATACTAAGTAAAGTCCTCTCCTGAGTTCTGAGAGTCATTCTAGTGAATTATTGATCATGAAAGATGAGTTATGGGAACCTCTGAATTTATAGTCAACCAGGCAGAAATGTGGGTAGCCTGGGCACCCCATTTTTGTTCATGTCTGAAATGGGAACAGTCTTGTGGGACTGAGCTTGTAACATGTGAAGTATGAGGCTAACTCTGGGCAGTTAGTGTTAGAGGTGAATTGAGCTGTAGGACACCTAACTGGAGTCAGAGACAAGTGGTGTTGAACAAGACACCATTTCCTTGGTTGTCAGGAGTGGGGGGAAAAGCTGTCACCATCTCCCTTGCTTCTCATCACCCCCCTGCCACCCCCCCCCAGGTGGGGCATAAAGAAAAAAGGGGACTAAGGTTTTGGGTATTTCCTTTCCCACAGGTGAGTTAGGCTCTGATAAAATCCTAGTGATTTTACTCTGTTGAAGTAGATTGATTTGATGACAGGACTTTTTAAGAGGAACTGAATATTTGGGGCATAATTCAAAATGACTACTTTTCATGCCTGCGTCTCCACTTTTGCAGTCATTCATTTGTCCTGTGACCTCAGTTCTCTGATGATCTGAAGAAGGTTTTGACTTTAAGATTTTTATTGTTTGTTTTTGTTTTGTGATGGTGGGAAAGATGGCATCTAAGCTCCTTACATACCAGACCAGAAACCAGAAGTCCCTGACACCATTTTCTGATGTTTGTTTATGGACTGAACTCCTCAAGCCTCCTTCTTCCCCTGGTGACCCACATCAAACCAGGGTAATCAGAAAGCCTGGCATCTCTCTTTTTTGCTGCTGGCAGAGTCTGTCCTCCCAAGCCCATTTCCTTGTGCATGAAGTTGCATACTTCCTCCCACCCAAACTTGGTGACACCCAGGCCTGGCACATTTACCTGCTCTCTCAAGCCTTTTGGCACCTGCTCAAGAGGCTGATCCTGCTCTTCCCAGAGACTTCCATGTAGAAGTAATAAACCCTTCCATACTGTCTTAGTATGTGTGTTGTATTGTCAGTGTTGACATCTGAACGAGCCCTTGGGTGAGGGGTCCATCTTTTTGTGCAGGTGACAGTAACAGTGACACAAACAGTAAGATGGTGTATACATTGTAAGGCACTTCGCTTAATTGTTCTATTCATATATTCTTTAAATATTTTCATACCAACATATGCCACCCTTCATTTTGGAAAGCTGCATAAGATGGTCCATTTATGCAACCAATTCTTTCCAAATAAACACTTGGCTGATTACCAATTTTTGCTGTCACATTACAAGGCAGATGAATAAATACCAATTGTTTTATTTTCCAAGTGTATTTAATTCTTTAAATTTTTATCATTAAATATATTCACAAAAGAATGAAAAAAATGTTTTGTGGTGTGATCTAGTAATAATACAATAATACAACCTTTGGAATCATCAAGCTTCATAACTGGGTCTTGGGCTGTGGCTGAAGACTCCTGTGTTCCTCTCCTTGACCAATGTCTGCCATGCCTCTTAGGTGACCATTGTCCTGATTCTTTGCTTATTCCTAATACCATTACCATGTTTCATTTCCACTCAGCAGTGTTCTTTTAGAATTGCCCACTCTGAACATTCAATAAGTGAGTGTTAGGGAAATTACAGTGAAAACTTTTGCCGTTAGTGGTTTCTTTGCCTTGGTATGTTTCACACATGCTGGTGTCTGGTGCTAACCATTGTCCTATCCATGAATCCATTCCAGTGATTATAGAGTTTGAGCTTTTCCGAGTTTGTTTTTTGCTCTTGGGGAAAATACTGCTCCTATCATTTTTGTAACAGTTTGCAAATGCCAATGCATGATAAAGGACGTTAGAGAAATATTGTTCAGCTGTAGATCATGACCAAGTTACCATTTACAGAAAATAGCAATGAAGAGTGTATTAATTGTCTCTTCCTCCATTTGTGCAGAACTGTTTTGGTCATTAACACTTGGGATTATCTAACTGATTGAATTTTGTCCTTCTAATCAGTATGAACTGGGATCTACTTGCCATCTTATTTGCTTATTTGTCTTTACCGAAGAAGTGGACATTTTTTAATCTATGGTCTTTCAATATCTGTTTAATATGTTTTCATTATTCACTTTTTAGTCATGGGTTCGTTCATTGTTACTCTGGACATGAATCCGTGTATATTGCGTTTATTACAGACATTTTCTCTGCACTTTGTCTTCTTTCACCTCCCATAGTTTTAATATACTTGAATCTCTTAGTCTCTTCCTTTGTGGCTTATGCTTTTTCTTACATGAGAAAATCCTTTATACAGACATTTTCTCTGCACTTTGTCTTCTTTCACCTCCCATAGTTTTAATATATTTGAATCTCTTAGTCTCTTCCTTTGTGGCTTATGCTTTTTCTTACATGAGAAAATCCTTTATGTTTTTCCATCAGAAAAAATATTTGTGACTTTTGAAGTATTCTTGTTTTATCTATTATATATAAATTTAGCGGAAATTGATTATTGTCCATGGAGTAGAAAGGAGTACAGTGCGTATTCACCTTGATCTTCAGAAGACTTTGACCATGGATGGATATTCATTACTCCCATTAGGTTTAGAAAAGTACTTTTTGTTTCTCTTATAAAGTCTGTTTTGTGAATTTATACAATTTAAAAAATATTTTCAAAGAATTCATTATGGCGACTATGAGTTCTTTCTAAGAACATGTGCCATCTTTCCCCCTTTTTTATTTTGCTTTGACATTATACAATGTAACGTCACTTACTGGCTGGTCAAGAATAATTTGTTCCTGAATTTGGAGAAAAGTAATTTTTAATATTTTTTGGAAAAAGGCACGGCTAAACCATGGTTTAAATAGTTTATGAGCTGGCCCATGGCTCACTTGGGAGAGTGTGGTGCTGACAACACCAAGTCAATGTTAAGATCCCCTACCAGTCATCTTTTTAAAAAAAAAAAAAAAAAGTCAGAGGGGAAAAATATTTTAGGGGGGG